AGAGGCTGTTAATGAGGAGGCTGTGCCCCCCGGTACCCGGGTAGGGAGGAGAGGGGGGCTCTGCAGGGCAACGTGCAAGGAGACAGCGGGACGTGGGCTGAAAAATCACACCCGATTTCCCATTTTGCCCATCTGCAACACGGATTCTCTGATATCTAATAGGTGGTGAGCATGTTGGTCTTCCCAGAGAAGCAGGAGGAATTGCTCTATGCACCCACCTACTCTCAAGAAATTCACTCCAGTTTTGGAATCTCTTCGCTGGACACGGTGACAGGTCCAAGGCTGCCAGGGTGGGACAAGCCAGCCAGCCAGCTGAGACCTCCTGAATCACACCCACCCTATTTCCTTAGGATGCCATAGTGAAGTGCCCTGCTTGGAAACCCTCTGCGGCTCTTTTACACGCACAACGAAACAGGGCCACCTCCCTGAGCTCAGGGAAGAAGCGTCAGGCAATTGCTGCAAATCTAAGCATGGGGTTATGGGCTGGGGTCCAGCCACCCTCCCTGGTCGATTTTCACTCCTAGAGATCAGATCAGCATTTAGAGAGAATGAGCTCATCCCAGTCTCTGCCGGCAAGAGGAGGCAGGCGGGTGTCAGGAATTGAGGGACTCTCCACGTGCATGGCTGCTCCAAGGCTGCGGTCAGCACGAAGCTGGGGAAAGGCGAGGGAGTGGGACGGGGTGCCTGCCATCAGTGCTTCAGCCCTGGCTCAGCTGGAGCTGGTGTGAATCAAGCTAACTATGGCAGAGCATTGGGGATTAACCCAAGCCACATGTAGCACTTCACTGTTTTTTTTTTTAAGGAATTATTCTGGGTGTCCTTGCACCCTGTGCCACAGCTGGATGCCCTGCCGAGGAGCAGCTCTGGGCTGTGCACGGCCGCTGGAAGCACAGGCTGCCTGGGTCTTGAAGGGTTAAGGCAGGCACAGCCCAGCCTGCTTTTATCCTCTTTCTGGAGTTTGTTTTTCTCCCTCGGGGGAAGGCCATCCTTAAAGCAACACTGACAGAATTAAAACCGCAGACACCTGCGTACAGGGGCACAAACAATTTCCTGCTGCTGTTTTCACCACCTTGAAATCTTACAAGCAAAACCAGATCATTAGGACAATGCAACAAACCACTGCCCAGTTTTCCTTTTACCGCTGGGTCCTGTCCCAGCAGCATTTCCAAGCCCCAAATCAGGAACACTGGGAGCAGCCAGCAGCTTCTCCAGAGGAGTTTGCAGAGGAACATCACTATGGCTGCTAAATTTTACTGCCTGTTTCTAGTCCATAGAGCTGCCCCGCCGCCCAAAGACCTCTGTCCATGCCTCAGTCTTCCTGTCAGCAAAAAACCACGATGCCTGCGCTCTGCAGAAGGTGACTTGAGCTCAGAGCAGCTTCTCCTTCGTGCAGCACTTCAACAGCAACAAGCCACCAGCAAAACTGGGTGGTGATATTAATTTGGCCCAGGCCCGCCAGTAGCATTCAGAGCACTGATTTAACAATGATTAAATATTGATGATGTTTGTAAAGCACTTTGTGATCCTGATAGGAGGAGGCACCCGTAAGGATGAGGAATTACTGCTATTTATAAGGCACCACACACGCAATAAGGCTCTGCTTTCTAAATTCCTTGCCACAGACCCATGGCTCCCACAGTTTCTGCCAGTGGCTTGCAACAGTATTTTCCCTTAAAGTCTTGGCTTTGGGCTGATCCTTACCTGGTGTAAACCTTGGAGTTAAGAGAGAGGGCTTCTCTGTGTCGGGGATCTCACGCCCTCCAGCTGCCTCGTGGAGGGGGGACCCTCACACACTGGAAATGCCCAGGGCCGCAGGAAGACCCATATGTGCACACACACGTGGCCCAGAGCCCTGCTGCCCAGCATCTCCGGTGCACACACAGCCACATCCCCCACCGCTGCCGCACGCCGTCACTGCACGGCAGCTGTTCCCCCAGCCAGTCAGAAACAGAGCCAGCCTCCCGGGGCTGCAGATATTTAATTAGCTGGATCTGTCATTTGGAGTGCTTGCCACTCTCCCCAGCCCCAGGGAGCAGCTGCCAGGCACCAAGGAGCCCTGGGAAACAAGCAGAGCAGGCAGCAGGGTTCCCCCCAGCACTGCCCGTGCACCTCTGTGATGTCTGCTCAGCATGGACTCAGCCAGCCTTCAAAGGGTTAATCCAGCTGTGCTTCTTCCCCTTACCTCTGTTCTCCCCATCCTGGGCCACTCTGTCCTCCTTGGCAGCCAGCTGGGACTGTGCCATCAGTGCTCCCGAGAGGGCCAGGAGCCCCGAGGTGCTGCTGGCCCCGCTCAGGCTAGAAGGCTGCATGCTGGAGGGATGGGGTGCCAGCGGGATGGGGGATGCGTGGTGGGAGAGGTGCTGAAGCTGCTGCTGCTGAAAGAGAAAGAGCAAATGGTCCTCGATCCAGGAGGAGACGGCCGCAGCCAGCCATGCCCGGCACCCCTCGGCTTCCCGCAGGAACTGTGACGCGAAGCGCGATGCGCTGAGACACAACGCGAGGACAAGGACAGGAGCAGAGCTGTCGCGGCTGCACAGTCCAGGTCACGTCACCCGGCCCCTCCACCCAGGGCACCTCGAGTACCTCCCCTGCTGCAGACGCAATCCCGACACGCTGCAGACGAGCCCAAGCCGTGGCTCTGCCCTGCTCTGCTCCGGGCAGCCAGGGAGGATCCCAGAGGCCATCCACCACCTTTGGGACACGGTGGCAAACCCTCTCGCCACAGGGGACCGGCCCTGGGCTTATCGCAGTAGTAAAGACCCTGGCTTCCCCCCTCACGGCACCGCACAGTCTGAACCCCCGACTGGGAAAGAGCCCTTGCCCGCGGCCAGGCAGCAGGACTCACCCCAACGATGCTGTTCAGCTCCCCCATGGTCACCTGCTTGGCCCGCTCCACGGCCTGCAGGACCTGCTGCTGGTGCTGGGAAGGAAGAGCATAGCGAGTCCACATTTGCTCCCTGGCCGAGGGAACACAGGGCCCAGCATCGCCCTAGCCACCCGGGGCTGCACAGCCCGCTCTCCCCTCCCTCCAGCCCAGGTACAGAGGTTTCACAGAATCACAGAATAGTAGGGGTTGGAAGGGACCTCTGTGGGTCATCTAGTCCAACCCCCCTGCCCAAGCAGGGTCACCCAGAGCAGGCTGCACAGGACCTTGTCCAGGCGGGGCTGGAATATCCCCAGAGAAGGAGACTCCACAGGGCACCACTGAAAAGAGCTTGGCCCCATCCTCCTGACACCCACCCTTCAGATATTTGTAGGCATTTATAAGGTTCCCTCGCACTCTTCTCTTCTCCAGGCTGAACAAGCCCAGTTCCCGCAACCTCTCCTCGTAGGGGAGATGCTCCAGTCCCCTCACCATCCTTGTAGCCCTCCACTGGACTCTCTCCAGTAGCTCTTCATCTTTCTTGAACTGGGGAGCCCAGCACTGGACACAGTACTCCAGATGAGGCCTCACCAGGGCAGTGTTTGCCCCCCCCGAACCTCCTGTTGTTCAGGATGGACTCAGGTTCGCCCCTTCCCGAGGGCCTCGAGAGAAGCCCAAGCAGTCTGGTGCACATCCCGTGCCTCCCCGCTTACCTCCTGCGTCAGAAAGGGTATGATCTGGGCACAGATGGCACTCAGTCTCTTGACAATCTCTGCCTGAAAGAGGAAGCAGGTATCACCAGAGTGGGGGGCTCTGAACCCCGAGCAGTCCCCTCCAGCGGAGAGGAGCGCAGCTGAGCATCCTGCAGCCTCTGCCAAGGAGTTAAACCATCCCCACCTGCACCCACTCAGCGTAAACCCTGCTGCCTCCTCGTCCCTGCTGTGCTTTCCCAAGCTGCTGCCACGGGA